ACCGGAAGCCACTTTCTAAGACAGAAAGCACAATGAGTTGTATGGCCCAAAGTTGAGCCCCGAGAGTGCCTCTGCCTTTTCCTTGGACAGTGGTTCATTAGGGATTTGGCAGAGGGCCATCTAAATGCTCTGTGGGAACACCATTCAGAGCCCCGCCCACCCTCAGTAGGAAAATGGGGCAAATGACAGCCTGGGACTTGTGCTGACTCCTGCTTGTGGGCAGAATAAAAGCTGCAGGTAACCCCTCCCTGCAGCAGTACCTGGAGCTGGCGCCCCGCAGGGTCTGACCTGACCGGTGTGCTCAGGCAGTTATCTGTGCAGCAGAGCAAGGTCCCTACCTCCAAAGAGGCCTCATTTGGGCTTTGATTCCTGGAGGCTCCACACTCCTGAAAAGATGCCTCATGGGGATTTCAGAGGAATTTTACAGTTTCTCTTAACACAGTGGTTTTATGGTGTATAGGACCCCAGGGAGACTTCCTAGAGCTCTGGGAGTGAGGTGATATTCCCCAAGTCTGTGCAGCAGAGGGGATTGTATTTTCCTGGCCTGGGGCTGCTGCACTGCCAGCTGAGGCACGGAGCAAATGGCCCAGGCTGCGCAGGCAGGGCTCTCGGGGAGGCTGCAGGAAGCCCTTTTCCCTGGTGACTGGAGGGAGGAAATCTTCCCCTGGCACCTGCCTGTAGGAGTGAAGGCCCAGCTTGGCTGGGGCCCTGTCCGCAGCACCCCTCAGGCCACTCTGCAGCCCCCACCAGCAGAGGGGCTCTTCTGCAGGGAGCCTCCCTCCTCTGTGGAGGCTCCTCGGCCTCACACTGAGCCCTAGGTTTCAATTCCTGAGTCAAATCCATGCTTGGGTGTGGAAAGGCAGCCATGCTCACCCTGCTGCGCCCGCCTCTCCTGGAGCTTTTCTGTTGAAGTGCAGACTTACTGAGTCCCCAGCCACAGGGCCCTCCCCAGAAACTTCGGCTTCCTCCTCCTTAAGGGTGCTTCTCCACCCCACCCCACTCCTGCTGTCTACCTCTTTCCCTCCCTTTCTCTTCCTTCTCCCCATGCTTCCCCCCTTGGCTGACTCTCCAGCAGGTCCTGCAGGCAGGAGTTAGCCACTGCTGGTCTCTAGGTCAAGAACAGCGCTCCTGTCAGGACACTCTGCACGTGCCCACCCACCTGTCTCACTGCCACCAAACGGCTTGCACAGGACCTGCCAAGTCCTTAGTCCATGAGGTGCCAAGGGGCACCGTTTGCTAACTTAGAAGGAACTCTTGCCACCGCCTTGATTTCCTGGGGTCCCTGTGCCAACCTGCAGACTACAGCTCTGCTCTACCTGCTGGCTTGGTGCAGGACTTGGACATGGTGCCCCGCCCCCCTTTGTAATAACTGACCTTGGTTTTCTGAGTGTAAACGTAACCCAGATGCTTCTTAGTGTTATTGTCCTCACTGTGAGTGAGGTGCCCGCCTTCACTGTTTCCATTTTGTCGGTGACAGTCATGATCTCCACTGCTGCCCCTTCGAGCTCCAGGCAAGTCCCAGGCACAGATCTTCCTGCCACTGTCCAGCCTGCCAGGCAGGAGTCCTGGGGGCTTCATGGCCTTCACCATGTAACCTTCCCTTCCCACTGGAGTTTGTCTAATATATCTTCTTACTATGGTTTCTGGGCTCACGTGTCTGCTGTTTAGCTGACTGCTAGGTCCCTAGAGCCATGATGTGAGTGAACCCCAAGTCTGGCTGCCAGGCTTCTCCTGCCATTTCCTGGGTCCTCCGATGCTCAGCCCTCTGCTGAGTATGTTCTGCCTGGACAGCTGCCCTAGCTCCAGAGCCCAGCCCAACTCCATCCCCAGGCAGAACACAGAGATTCCCAGCGTGCTGGGGGCTGGCCAGTGGAGGTGCTGCTGTCCCCATGGTACACCCTCTAGGTTTCTTGCTGTGAAGCCCTTGGTAGACTCTGAGAAGTAGTCAGATCTGAGCCAGAGGGCCTCCCTGCCTCTGCTGCTGCCAGCAACCCAGGAGGAGTCCTCTCCTCATGCTGCACTTCACTCCTTCTCTTACTCTTGCCACCGGTTAACTTGGTTTTTATTCCCCAAAGATCTGGTGAAAACCACTCTCTGCTAAGAGCAAACATGTACTGCAGCCCTCCGTGCAAGGCTGTGCTGTGACACCGCGCTGCATCACGTTGTCCTCACACTCTGGGATGCGAAGTATGATGATCTTATTTTTACGAGTCAACCAAACTACGGAACTAGGGAACTCACCAGTCACACAGAAATTAATGACTGCCAAAACACTGGTCACAGCCACGAGTCCTACTAGTACACTTAACTTGGAACCATGATTCCAAGCTTCTGGGCACTTGGGCTCCCAACTGCTGCCCAGCTCTGACCTTTACACTTCTAGAATACCCCTGACATTCTTGTCCTTTCTCTGGTTCTAACCCCCTTGTTTGGAGTCCTGGCCATCATGTTCTGTGTTGCCTGTAGTCTGTGACGTGCATGATTCACAGGTGTGTAGTTGAGAGGTGACGGTCCTCTCCCACCTTTTGGACCCTTCTTTCTTGGTCAGTCTGTAGCCACCATTCCCGATTGTGGTCACAACCAAAAATATCCTGATGCCCTCATCCTGCCCCCTATGCAGCCAGGTCCCCCAGAGTCTCTTTCCCCATTATTACGGCTGCTGAGAGCTGGCTTCTGTTCCACAGTGCTGCAGCGGGGTTGGTTGCCAGCTTTCTGAGCCAGGCCCAGAGATGGAGACCCAGCAGGGTCACCTTCTAAGGATGTGCCTGTGGCCTGCTGAAGAGTCTCTGACAGTCAGCCTTGCCTCCCTCAGCCCACATCAGGCAGCTGGGTTGTGAAGAAGGGGATCTCACTATTTAGAAGGAAATCAGAGAGAGCTGTCAGCAGGACATAAATATTCATAGAGGGAGGTTAGAACTTGAGTCCCTAAACCTTGATTTGTGTTTGCCCGCTTAAGCCTCATTAAAAAGTGGCAAATGAAAGTGGAGATATTCAGTGGAACTGCAAATAAATTGGGCTTGTTCAGATAAAGGCCCCCAACTGCCAGCTTCTCAGGCCCTGTCCAGAGCATAATGACAGATTGGCTTGGCTACTTAGGGTTTGCCAACCTCAATTTTAAGATTTTGCCTAGCATGAATTCCTAGCCTTGTTCTGGGACAATTAGCACTTGTTTGGGCACCTGGTAGCCTTCCAGAGGTGTTTAGGGATGGAAAGTCCCAATCTGCCCCTTCCCTATAACGACTTACAAACCAGGTCCTGGCTAAAGAGGGCACAGGAAGGGCTCTAACCTGGAACTGAGACTGCCTGGGCAGTCTGCAAAGCTTCATAGTGAGGGGGTTATGTGCACATGTGGTTGTCCCCTGAACCTGGGCCCTGTGTCGGGGTGAACTGCTTGGTGGCCTGAAGCATTGACATCAGCTGTTGCTCTTTGAGCCTGACTCCCAAGCCTTGTTCCTTTCCCTGCTGTGCGGCTCTAGGAAGGCCTCTGGCCCCGTCTCCTAGCTGGGGTTGTTCCCAGGACAGTCCTCCCTTTGGGTGCCCATTAGCTGAGAAACAGCACAATTAGCCAGGCAGTTAACTCGAGGTTCTGCAGTTGCTCCCTCCCACAGGGCCCTGCTTAACTGGGCTGAAGTTGGCAGTGCTGGGGGCTACAGGGAAGATAGTGGGTGGTGCATCATTTGGACCAGGCCTCAAGACAGGGAAAGTGTCTGAGAAGGGTGCTGGCCAGGGAGGGCACAGAGGTCCACAGATTTCAACTCAGATGTCCTGACACCCAGTCCCCGAATGCCTGCCTGAGACTCAAGGGCTCTGAGAAGCTACCTGGGAGGCAGGATTCTTTCTTGCAGGAGGCAACTCCAAAAAGGAATGGTGCACAGAGCTGGCTGAGACTGATAAGAAGGGAGGCCCCACTCCGACTCCTCAGAAAAGTCATTTCCTTTGGGGAGCCAGGTTCTCCCATTTGTGAAATAGAGGTCGTGCTTGCTATCCCTCCTGGGGATGTGGTGAGAATGAGCAAAGTCAGAGATGGGAAATGGAATACGGTGGGACTCTAAGCACTGTGCAGCCAGCTGCTCTGTAGGACACAGCCCCAGAAACCAAGCCACCAAAATCTAGGCTCTCGCTAGCAGGGCTGGCGTGGAAGCAGAGCAGGCCCAGACCTAGAAAGGCAGCCGATGAGACTGAGCAAAAGACTGGAGTCAAGAGATGGATGGGGGCAGGGGCTTGCTGTCAGTGCGTGATCCTGAGCCCAGGCTTGCACAACCTGCTGGTAGTTCACGGAACATTTTTTCCACAACTCAAATATTTTCCCAAGAACACACCTCTGGAACCATAATCAAAACAAATGGAAAAGGATATCTTTGGCAACTGGCCTTTCAGGAGCTTAGCTGTTTTGCCACACAAGTTACAGCTACCTCGATGATGGGCACTGTTTTTGCACGAAAACCAAGTCAGAAATAGAAGTGGTTTTGAGTAACTTTTTTTTCCCCCTGCTAATTTTTATTGATTCCTGTAGGAAATGTCTGTTCTTACAGCTTGGACTAAGATCTGAAGACAAGCCTGTCGATGAGGAAAACCTCTGTGTTGTGGCCCCGGGTACTGAACCACCTGCCCGAGGAGCACCTGGAGCCTCGAGCCTTGTGTTGCAGGCCTGCCCTTGCCGGGCTCTGGCTCCTGCTCTCTGGGCCTTAGATGGGGAGATAGAGCTGACCACGGGGCTGCTCCTCTCTCCCCACAACCCGTGCTTAGTCCAGTGGGTGAGGACAGCTATGAGACCCTCGTAGCACCCACTGCCCTGTTTTCAGGGGGACTCGGGCTGGAGCCCAGAGCTGAAGCATGCAGTGGTGGAGGACAGCAAAGACACTCTGGGGCACCGGTGCCTGGGTGCCCTGCCCAGTGGAAGTGAACATGGCCTGGGACAGGGTGGATTTGAGACTTGCCTGATCCCAGGGCATTATAGCTGCAGAGCTCTGCAACCTCTCTCCATTTGCCTTATGTTTCAGATTGATGGGCTGGAGGAAAAGTTGTCCCAGTGTCGGAGAGACCTGGAGGCTGTGGACTGCAGGCTCCACAGGGCAGAGCTGAGCCCAGAGGACAGGTAACGTTCCTGACCAGCCACCCCCTCCCCTCCCCGCCCTTGTGTCTGTCCTGAGTCCCCAAAGTGAACTAAGCTTAAGGCAGAGGGTTTGGGTCCTTAGCTTCTGAGGTCAACTCCTGAGACCTGGGCACTGGTCCCCTTTGTTCACACTGTCCTGTTTGCTGGCTGCCCCCAGGTGGCTAGAGGAAAAGGGCTTGAGCCATGAAATTCCTTCCCCACAGGAAGTCTCTGGAGAAGGAGAAAAACAGCCTAATGAGCAGAGCCTCCAACTACGGTAAGAGAGTTCCCTTCAGATGCCCACCTTGACCTCCAGGACCCAGAGTTTGGAGGGGCCAGGCAGCCCAGGGAACCTAACTAGGTGGCTGGGCACAAGGTGGTCCTTTGAGAGGGAGCCAGCCCCAGGAGGCTGAAGGAACCTGCCTTGTGGGAGGAGAGCTGGTCTATTCTTTGTTACAAGGGAAGAAGGATGACCTAGGGCTCTGTCTTCCCTCTGGGATGAAGGGGTGTGGCTGTAGCCAGGTCCCCTCCCTCCCCTCCCCTACTGCCACCACAACTCCCCTCCTGGCCAGGAACATCCTGCATTTGGAGTAGGGCTGACAGATACCCCCCCACACACACACACACACAAACTTGAGTGCAGGAAGGGCTCCTGTGGGTAGAGCAATACTGCCACCTTCTGGGCACTGGGGGCAGGGCCAGGTAGAGTACAGGCGGGGCAAGCAGCTGGAGTGTGGCTGGCTGATAGCCTCAGCTTCCTGAGAGTTGGAGGAAAAAGATCTGTAGCAGGTTCTTCAGTTTGTCCCCTCTTGGTTCTCCCCTGGGGGACCAGGCCTGGCCAGGGAACAATACAGAAAGAACAATCTGACCCGACACAGTTGGGCTGGGGTACCCTGGGCTCAGTCTAGCCCACCCAGAGCCCCCTGTGAGTCCCTCCCTCCCTTGCACATGATGGGTGGGGCCTCAGTTCCCCTCCAGCTTAGCAGTTTTCACAGCAGTTTTCACCTCAGCATCGCCACTTAGTTTAGCCTTCATGGTGTACCAACCACCTGCATGTCACTTGGAGGGACCCATATGGGTGTAACCACGGGTGTGGCTACAGAACAGCAGGACTGGCTTCCTCTAGAATGGAGGATGGCTGCCTCCTGTCAGCAACCCTAGATTCTGCTGAGCTGGGCCCCCAGCAAAAGGCAGGATCTCAAGAAACAAATGTGGCCCTGCCTGGCCACTCCAGTATCTGGCTCAAGATACTGTCCAACTCCACTGAGTTTCTGGTTGGCTGGATGAGACTCCTGGAAGGACGAGCACTGTAGAGCCCACTGAGAGGTGAGGACTCACCTGATGTTACACTGTATCCTAGCTTGGCTCTCAGGTGTGGCTTCTTTGGTGACCCCTCACATCCCATCCTAAACCTGGTTGAGCAGCCTTGTTATTAGGACTTTTAGGCCAAAATCTGTACCTAAAATGTTATGAAGATCTGGGCAGATCAAGGACAGGTCATGTTTAAGCGTAAGAGACAGGAGGGACACAACTTCAGTGGTGTGTGTATCCATTTTGGAAAGGGAGAAAGAACACTTACGGCCTCCATTCCCTGTCCCATACCAACTACCCCTTTATCTCCCAGAGAAGGAACTAAAATTGCTTCGGCAAGAGAACCGGAAGAACATGCTGCTCTCGGTGGCCATCTTCATCCTCCTGGCCCTGGTCTATGCCCACTGGACCACGTGAGTCTGCAATGCCCCGCAGCCACTGCAGGCTTCCCCTCGGCTCCTTAATTGGGACCAAGCAGGCCCTTCAAGTCTCAAGAGGACTACAGTGCCGGGGTGCTTCCCCCACCTAGGCCTTGGAGTAAGGCCTCCTGACGTATCCTCCCCCCACCCCCGCCTGCTGCCCCCCCACCCCCACCCCCGAGTCAAGAGAGAGGCAATAAAGAACATCAGGCTGCTCCTGTCTGCTGAGTAAATGTCACGGTCCGACTGTAGCTGAGGGGCAGCAGGAGAGTCACTCAGGAATCAAGGAAGGAGAGACATTCAAAAGTTCATGGTGTAGAATTCAGAAGGGAGAGGTAAAGGGGTAGTTGGGAAGGTGGGCAGACATTGTGCCACCTGCTGCCCACTATCAAACATTACCTGCCCTCCAGCCAGTGCCAGCACCTCCAATTATGGCAGAAAAATGCAGCCTGTGCAGTGAAGGGTGATTTGGACTTGAAGTGGTGGGAGGTCCCGGAGGAATGTGGAGGAATGCGAAGTTAATCCATCCTCAGGAGGCAGGCAGGACTGGGAGGCTCAGAGAGCAAGTGTGCAGCAAGAGCCATGATAAAGACAAGATTCATGGTGACAGTGGCAGTAAGAGGTGGTGGGGGTCAACCATACCCCTAACTCCACTCCCACAGTGAGGCCAGGAAGAAAGAGGGTGGGTGCTGCGGCCAGCAGAGGGAGACAGGCTGGGAGCACTAAGGTGAACTCCCTGTGTCACAGTGGGACCCCCAGATTAGGGTAAAGGAGCCCAGGAAAGTATAGGCATTAGGGGGATCCAGTATCCATGTGACAAAGGAGTGGGATGCCATCAGTTTCTGCATACCCTCTACCCTAAAGCAGGAGTGCAGCCCCCACTGGGGTGGGGGGGAGCCTGGCCACCTGGGGAGGAAGGCTGGCCAGGGTCAGTGAGTCTATTTCTCTCTCCCTCTCAATCCTTGGTCTAGTGACACTAATTGGTCTGACGCCTCTATTATTTTAGTCACAGACTGATCCTGGATTGTCACAGTGCCACCACAGAGTGAGCTATGTGATTTCTGTAAGAGGGGGAAGGTGCCTTGCTGCCCTCCTTGGGTTGTGGGTTCATTCAGTCCTCTGTCCCTACTTCTATCAGCAGCTGCGTGATTTCCCTGGGTTCCTGGGCTCCCTTCTCTAGCAGCAGTCCTGCGCGCCCTGCGGGGCCCAGGAGCTTGGACAGGCTCAGAATAAACAAACCTTCTTTTCTCCTCTCTTCTTTGAGTAGAGCTTCCTCTCCCTTCACCTCTGGCCCAGGCTGCCTCATCCAAGCCAGTCCCAGAGCACAAAGCACTGAGGACAAATAGCAACAGCCCCAGCACAGAGCCACACAGGCATTAAAAATATGTTTATCTTTAATGATCCAAGATTCTGCAAGACACACTGATATACCCAGAATTGGGTGGAAATACAGCATCTCAGTGGTGCTGCCGCCAGCCTGGGGGGTGGGAGGCTGGATGCTGGCTGAAGGACCCCCATGGTGGAGTCAATTCCAACCTGCCGGGAGCCTCAGTGCCCTATCTCCATGGAAACCAGCCTGGCACTGGGATGGGGCCCTAGGGAGCCTGCATGAACATCTCTGAGAGGTATTTCCCATTAAAAAACAACCACAGATGCCCTCCCCCACCCAAAGCTGCTGCCCAGCTTCCCCTCCTCCCTCTGCCAAGATAGAGGAAATGGAGTGACCACAGAGAGACAGACAAAAGCAGACTGTACCTCCAGATGGAGAGGAAAAACAAAGGAAAGGGTGGCTACCTCCAGCTCAGAACTCTGCCAAGACCCTAGGGTGGCTAGGGCACAGGCAGTATGCAACTGCCAGAGGGCTGGTGCTGTACTGACCCTAGAGGTACCTGTTACTGGTGGGGCCACTGCTACTGGGGGAGAGGCAAAGGCAGGTTTTCAAGGCTACTTCCAGCCCTCTGAGCTGCCCAACATTTGGATCAAAACGAGTGGCCCAGGAAGCCTCTCTAACCCCAGGAGGCAGTCACACCAGTCCCAAAGACAGCACAGCCTGCATCTCAATATGGTGTCAGTGACGTCGGACCCACTCTCTTCCTTCCCGGCCTGCCGGGACTATCAGAGGTCTAGGCTGGGAAGAATGCCAGGATGGGTGTGGGGAAGAGATGAAAAAGTCTTCCAACTTGGCATCAAAACAGAGCAAGTTCAAAGAAACAAAACTTTGATTTGTACAACAGCTGCTCCTGGCCAGCTCGTGACAGTGGGCATCACCCACCCAGGATTGGCCCAATAAAAGTTGGGCAAAGCAGGGGCCTGGCCACCCTCAGAGGCAGTGCATGGAACTCAGAAAAATGAGTCTACAGGACTCTGGAGAGAACGGCAGAACCCAAAGCCTGCTACTCTCTAACGCGTCCTCCACCAGCCCCACGTGCCCTGGGCACTGACCACAAACCTGCCTCAGGAGCAGCTTCCTTCAGGCTGAGTCCTGGTAGGGGAAACAATTCCCAGGCAGATGGTGTCCCAGAAGGAACATGTGTCCTCTGAAGGCCCTGACTGAGCTCCTCAGAGAGAGGCGGCTATTTGCTCCCAAGGCCAGGCTTAGCTCCCCCCAGTCCCCTTTCAAGAGGCAGAAGGAACCAGTGCTGGGAGCCCCAAGTGCAGAGTGCCCCGTTGTGGGGAATGACAGGGCATTCAGCAGGGGTGGAACACCCCAAGGCCCTCAGGCGCTGTGCATCTGGATGAAGGAAAGGACGTCCTCCTTGGACAGCTTGTCTGGGTCCTGGGGCTTCTGGGAGTCATGCACACGGATGCCATCCCCCCACTCCCAGAAGAGTCGGCCATAGTAGCAGATGCTGCAAGGAGGAGAGGGGAGAGGTTAGAGGGCTATACCTGGGTGGCCCAGGACCAAGAGCCCACCAGCCCACCCCTGGCAACAGTGACATTGACCCTCTCAGTTGAGGGTCTTCTCTCTGGTAACCTAAAGGTACCCAGTAGGCACCAGCTCCTTCTGTGCTGCCCAGAACCAACTCTTCCAACAGACAGCTGCTGCTTACCGCATCCAACTGAACTGTAACTACTGATATTCCTGGATTGTCTGTCTGTGCTTCTCTAATGGAACAGTGTTAGTGAGGAGACAGAAACAAGTGTTAGTGGCTAGTTTTAGGCAACAGGGCTGCTGTCAAAACCTATGACCAGCAATCTGGCAGATGGATGCTGGGTCCTAATAAGGGACAGCTAGGACCTTGGACCTCACCATCATGGCAGGTCCAGGTACTGCTGCTCACTGAGCTCACCGCCCGGCTCGGCCACACTTGGGTGTTCCCAGGGAAAGAACCTGGCCCAGGCTCACAGGAGCCCTTGTGTGGCAGTGATCAGTCTCAGGCCTCAGGGTGTGCCCTGGGAGGGCTGGCACCTGGCAGGAGGACTTGGAGCTGCTAGGGAAGGCAGCTCAAAAGGGGGTTACTCACTGAAATGGGGCGATGGCATCTGCAGGAAGATCATAGGTGGAGTTCCTGGTTTTCTTGTTGTAGAAGAATTTCCTCTTGAAGTTTTTGCTGCATGCCATAGTCCATGGCTCTACAGGAAAAAGAGGGGAAGGAGCTCAGAAAGGACACAGTACCCACAGGGGTGGGTCTGGCATTGCAGGGGTGGGTCTGGCATTGCAGGGGTGTGTCTGGCATTGCAGGGGTGGGTCTGGCATGGCAGGGGTGTGTCTTCCTTCCCTCTTGTTTGTCCTTCCCACCTCCCTTCCTCCAAGAACAGGCAGGGAACAACTTAAGTATGCCACCTCCACCAGCAGCCTAGAGGGCTCCAGGAGGATTACTGATTATTTCTCAACAAACACACATGTGTCCTGTCAACCCACCATCGCCCTACAGTGCACAAATGCACAGAGCCCAAACTTGCCATGTGTGCATTACAAGCTAGCCCTCTTCCCACGCCCAACCCCCCCCCCCAGGCCCACTGAAGAACAGAAAAGGCTGTGGACACACAGCCCTCTAACATACACTTCAGGGAAACGCCAGCCTGGCTGCCCCCACCCCACTGTCAGCTAGCTCCGGCTCAGGTAGAGTGTGGAAAGGAGGTGGCGTGGAGGCAGGGAGCCATCACCCACCATTCACAGTCCTGACGATGTACAGGCCTGTGGGCACAAAGTGCCTGTCGTCTCGCCCTGTGTAGCTGAGCTTTGGAGTGCCACTGGATCCCTTGATGATCTTCATTTCTAACCTGATTCCAAATAAGTGTACAAACAGATGCGAGTGTGTGAGACAGAAAGCCATACCGTTAGTCTCTGGCTAACATCGGTCATTCATTGCATTCTATGCTGCTTCCACCTAAAAAGAAACTGAGGCACGGCGCCTTAAAAGAACTGCTCCAAGCACACAGTGATATTGGTAGTGCTAGGTTTAGATCTCAAGCAACAGAAACACGGGAGTGACAAATGACCCTGCCAGGCCACCACTACTGAGGGGTGGGTACCTCCATGGTGATAGCAATAAGACTGAGATCTGAGACTGTGGGTGCCGGAGTCTTCAGCCCTCCACCCATGTCATCACTGTGGCCACTAGACAGTTAACAGTAACCGCCTCCCAGAGAGCACTGAGAGCCAGCCTCACTCCCATACTGAGAATCAGATCTGCAAGCGCCATGCACCCCACACACCGTGAAGAATATGAGGAAGCGTTTATGCCCCCTTGGTCCCCTCCAGGCTCAGTCTCTCTCAGCACTAGGAGCTGGGATTTATAGTGTTCCCAGCAGCTTGCTGCTCTGCCCCTCACAGGAACAATCGTAACTATTACAGCATCAATGAGCCCATATTTCTGCCTGACACATGTCTGCCCTGCTCCCCTCCTGACAGGGTGCTGAGTCAGCTGGGGGGGGGGGGGGTTATAGGCTGCAGCAGAGCCACACAGAGGCCCTGAGGAGGGGGTGGGAGCATCACTACCTCTGCACCCTACCCACAACCTGTCTCTACAAAAAAAAAGGAATCCTCAACTTGACTTAAATCCCAAACTGCACTGGGTTGAGTCACTCACCTGAGGAAAATCTTCTCCATCTCCTCCAGCCTGTATACCTCCTTCACTCTGCAGGTAGAGGGGTGGGGAGAGGATGAGGCTTCCTGGGGACATACTCATCCAGAAAGCAGCAGGCTGTGCCTGCCCTAGCCTTCTGCCTTGGCCCTCCCT